TGCATATCAGTGCTTTTATTGAAAGAAGAAAGCTCAGACAAATACATTAGTAATTTTTTTAAAACCCTGTTTTGCCAATACTTCCATTGCTAGGGTATCTGAAAGATAACATAAGCCAATCCTCTAAGACAGGGGTCCTCAAACTTTTTAAACAGGGGGCCAGTTCACTGTCCCTCAGACCGTTGGAGGGCTGGACTATAGTTTAAAAAAAAACTATGAACAAATTCCTATGCACACTGCACATATCTTATTTTGAAGTAAAAAAACAAAACGGGAACAAATACAATATTTGTATTTGCATGTGGCCCGCGGGCCGTAGTTTGAGGACCCCTGCTCTAAGAAATACTGTCGGCCTGGAATTGGTCACACCGATGACGAAGATGAACCTAAGTGTGCGTGGCACCTTGGACCAGCTTATGTTCTCCACGTGTGCTATTTGCGTGTGTGTCTGGTCCAAAATCTAAGATCACCTGTGAGGCACGTGATGATTATTTTTTTCTTAGCAAACAAGCTTCCTAATTTACGTCTGGGCTCAGATTTCAATCAGTTTGGATTTTCTGAGCAGACAATGACTGAGCAGAAGGAAAATTAAAAAAAAATACAATTCACTGAGAATTGATTAGATATTATCTAGAATTTCCAAGACTTTTCTATAATATTACCCAGAATTTTCTCAAAGTGCTGGCATTTACAGCAAATCTTTCCTCTCTCACACTTGTGAGAACAGGCTTTCATCCCTAACCATTTCACACGTGGAAAGCTGTGTAAAGGCACCTTAAAAAACTAAACCTAACAGCCTGACCGGTGTGGCTCAGTGGTTGAGCGTTGACACATGAAACAGGAGGTCATGGTTCGATTCCCAGTCAGGGCACATGCCCGGGTTGCAGGCTCGATCCCCAGGAGAAGACGTGCAGGAGGCAGCCAATCCATGATTCTCTCTTATTGATGTTTCTATCCCTCTCTTCCTCTCCCTTCCTCTCCCTGAAATCAATAAAACATAAAAATAAAGAATTAAACCTAACAAAAGTGCTATGGGTGCTGCAGAGGTACAGCCACAGGAACCACATTAGCCACCTGGACAGCAGTGGGAGAGCTGGGCCTGGGCCATGTCCCTCTCCACGGTAAGTAAACGGAGTCCCTGTCAGTGCTGCAGGCCCCGGGTCCCCTGCCCCGACACGGGTGACCGGTCCCTGGACTTTGTGGAAATGAAAGAGCAAGAACTAGATTCTCTTCCAACCAGTTTCCTTCCTGGCGAAGTGCAACCATGAGTTTTGACTCAGCCACCCTCCCGCGCATCCTATTAAGCACCAAGTCCATCTTCACATCTGGAAGAAGCATCCGTGTCGCAGTGGGACCATTAGCATCTCACTTGGCTGAGGGTAACGTCACGCCAGACAGACTGGCTCAGCGCGCCACGGCTGCTTTGGCTTCTGCGCCCCACACGAGGAGTCTGAGGCTGGATGGTTCAGGTGTGTGAAGGCAGCCGGGGGCCATCCGGCTCCTTCTAGCCTTCTGCTTAGCGATCCTTTGCGTGTGGCTTTTGTCCCCCACGCTGGTTGCCAGGTGATTGCAAGGTAAATGCTCAGCTTCTAGAATCCTGTCAGGGAAGGGCGAAGGGCAAAAGGTGATATGGCCCTTTTTAAAGAGTTTTCCCAGAAGTTCCACCCAGAAAATTCTGTTCCCTCTCATCGGCCTGCATTTCTCCCAATTCCTTACCCTCCCGCCAAAATACGTATCTGCTGCTAGAATGTATAAATCAGTAGAAAAGAAGAATTTTAAATCTTTCCAGGGTGACCAATCCATATGGAGCTCCTCTCAGAACTGTAATCACTGAGCAACTCCGGGCTAAGCAATGTTTGAGGTCACTTGAAATGAACTGAGAAGGTGTTGCTCCTGTTTTTTAAAAAAGAAAAGCTTCTACACATCAGCTCTTGGGCACACTCCTGGCCCCTGCACAGGACCCTCTCCCTGCTGTCTGACTCTCACTTCCTCCCGGCCTCCGATTGAATGCCACTGAGAAGACATTCTGACTCACCAAAGCAGTTTTACCCAATGGGGTCAGAATAGACGCGGCTAGTAAAGCGTGTGCTTGTAGCCAGAAGAGCACTTGCGATGAATGGGTTAACGTTTTTATTTCCTCCCAATTTCCCTGCTGCTTAGATAGGTGTGGGATATACTGCCCAAACCTAATTGAAAGACTGAATCTGTATCTTAAGATTATGGCTTCCCCGTTCACTCCAAATTCTTACATATCTAAACAGGAAATTAGTTATGTTGTATTTTCAACAGAAATCAAGGAGGATCGCCGACAAGTCAGGCGATTTCGGGAATATTAATCCCCCTCCCTTAGGGAGCTCAGTGCCAAAAGACCAAGCATAGAGTGAAGCAATCATTAAACCCCGGGGAAAGGCCCGGCCCACGGAGGAAGGGGTAGGGCAGCCGTGGGCAAACTACGGCCCGCGGGCCGGATCCGGGCCGGATCCGGCCCGTTTGAAATGAATAAAACTAAAAAAAAAAAAGCCCGTACCCTTTTATGTAATGATGTTTACTTTGAATTTATATTAGTTCACACAAACACTCCATCCATGCTTTTGTTCCGGCCCTCCAGTCCAGTTTAAGAACCCATTGTGGCCCTCGAGTCAAAAAGTTTGCCCACCCTTGGGGTAGGGGCACAAAGAGACGACAAGGAGCAGCAGTGATCTCCTCATGGGAGCTGACAGCATCAGCTTGCTCTTCCTAAAAGGTCAGGATGGATGAATATCTAGTTATTTGTTTTTGCTAAATGGGCAGGTGCCAAAAGACCAAGCATAGAGCGAAGCGATCATTAAACCCCGGGGAAAGGCCCAGCCCACGGAGGAAGGGGTAGGGGCACAAAGAGACCACAAGGAGCAGCAGTGATTTTCTCATGGAAGATGACCGCATCAGCTTGCTCTTCCTAAAAGGTCAGGACGGATGAATATCTAGTTATTTGTTTTTGCTAAATGGGCAGACAGTCTGGTCCTATTCAGTGTATGTATTTCCTTCTCTAATTGTGATACCTATTGAAATGGGGCGAGCTGGGGTCACTGTGCAAGTCTCGGGCTTTCCATCTGCCGTGAAGGTGACAGCATTTGCACATTCCTCTGCAAGCCCTTATCTGGCCGCGGTAACATTTGTGTACATTTATGTGCCCGGTGATAGGTCAGCAGCCCCACCAGGGCCAGGCCTCTAGACTCATAACCCTCTACCCCAGCACAAGCCAATAAACACTTGGTAGATAAATCATGGAGCAGGCACACCTTGGCCCTACAGTCCTTCACCCTCATTCAATTAATTTAAACTAAGTTAGAAAGGCCTAGAAAATCCCTAGCCTAACAGTGAAACCTAGTAACTTGTCATGGTAACTTGTCTGATTATTTTACAAAGTGAAATTCAGACTTACTTAAAAATTCTCTAACTGTGTATGAGAGACTTTTGTAGTGAACAGACTGTTAAGTAAATATCCAGGAAATAGATTCAAAGTGTGGGAGGAAGAAATTAACTCTCACAGGTAAGAAGAGTTACTGAACAATAAACAACTTTGCAGTTTGTGTTCACACTAATACTCAGATTTGTGCTGACATTGCCCACAGTCACCAATACTTTACTATTTTCAAACATTACAGCTTGCCTCCCAGGCTGGAAAGTCTAACGGTCAGCGCTGACCCTCCCTCGTTCATTCGCTGATTCTGTCAACCAGTGGTCCCTGAGCCCCGACTGTGCCGAGCGCCGAGGGTATTTTAGTGAACGGATACAGACATGCTTCAGAGAGCTTAGAAGTATCAATGGTGCAAATAAGTGAGCAATGACGCCTCTCATAAGAAGATAGATGTCCGTGGTGTTAGTGCTGTGAATTTAGGGAGATTCGCCCTGACTTGGGCCCTTGAGGAAAGCGCTCTAGCAGAAATGGTGAATAAACAAGATGTGAAGGGAGGGTGGCAGACTGACCGGGCTGCACGGAGGGAAGAGATTCCGGCAGGAGGAACCACAAGCCGAGGCCCTGGCCGGGCGGGAGGCCAGCGTGGCCGAAGCAGGAGCTGGGCCCGGGTGTTGCCACCGCGGGAGCTGGACTTCTCTTCGGAAACTGGGAAGTCACTGGGCTGCTGGAGGCAGGCGGGTGGGGCGGACTGAGCTGCCCAGGCCCGGATTCTCCTTCCCCAGGACTCTGTGGGCGCAGGACGGGGCGGCCAGAGGGACGGGGAGTAGGTCAGGGGACAGGGGGCAGAAGGCTGAGGGAGGCCCAACAGCCCCTCGCCCCGTTCTGCAGAGAATGATTCCTTCTTGGCAGAAGTGTGTTTTGCCACCAACTTAAAATCAAAGCTGAAAATGTATTTCCAGAAAAACAAGGCAATGGAACACCAGCCACACTGCACCCAAATGGTTTTTTTTAAGTAATTGTGCTCCCCCCAGCCCCCACCCCGAAGCCTAAAGGACAGGAAACGTGTATCCTCGTCGTCGCATCTCCAGCTCACCCTAGCAACCGTGAAACGTTGTCAGTGAATGAGGAAACATGGGCGGCCCTGCTAGGGCTGGGACCAGCTCCCCAGTCTGGGAGGTTACACAACAGGCACTGTTTCCTCACGGTCCCTAGGAACGTCCAGGCCCAGGTGTCTCCTTCCGAGGCTGAGGGGGAGGTCGCTCCGGGCTCCCTCTTGGCTTGTCGATGAGTCTGCGTCTCTTCCTGTATGTGCGCCTCTGGGTCCAAACTTCCCCCTATGATGACAACAGTCATACTGGGTTTGAGCCCACCCTCGACCTCATCTGAACGCCGATCACCTCGAAAGGACCTCACCTCCAACGGGGTGGCCTTCTGAGGCCTGGGCATTAGGACTCTGACATTTGAATTTGGGGGACACATTCAACCCACAGCGCATGGGCTGTGCACTCTGGATTCCATTTCACAAGGCAGCTTCTGTTGTGCCAGCTCCCAGTGCCAGCTCCCGGCGCCAAGCCCTGGGGAGTGGAGCACAGAATGGGCAGAGCAGAGCAGAGAGGATTCCTTTTCCTGGTCTCTTCAAAGCTCAGCTCATAGCCATGAAAAAGCCAAACAAAAGTAGATGGATTGTCCAGATGGCTACAGTTTAAATTGTGTCTCCTCCTCCCCCCATGTCCCCCAAAGTCATATGCTGAAATCCTAACCCCCCAGAATGTGACTATATTTGGAGGTAAGGCCTTTAAAGAGGTAATTAAATTAACATTAGGGCATTGTGGTGGGCCCTAATTTAACAGGACTGGAGTCCGTATTAGGAGCAGGATATAGATATGTATATAGATATGTATAGTATAGATATGTATATAGAATCTTGAAGGGAGACACACAGCGAAGGCGGCGTCTGCAAGCCCAGGAGGGAGGCCTCAGAAGAAACAGAACCTGTGGAAGCTTGATCTCAGAGTCATATTCTCCGCGATGGTGAGAAAAGAAATCTGCTATTTAAGCCCAGTCTGCGGTATTTTGTTACGGCATTCCTAGCAAACCAATATACAAACCAAACCGGTCAACACTCCTATTCTAAAGTCCAGGTTCATTTGATAGTTCCACTCTACGGTTCGCTTCTTATTAATAAAGAGTAATGCTTCCTGAGCTCTTACCTTATGACAGGCACTGTGCTGAGGGCATTATCAACGTCATTTTATTTAATCTGTACAATTTGATCTAGACACAAGGACTGTTATGATCTTAATTTTTATGGGAAGAAAACTGAGCATGAGAGCTGTAACGTGCTTGCTGAGGTCACCAGGGGAGAGGGGACAGAGGTGGGTCCTGGGGTCTAGGGGCACAGCCGACACATCTGGGCGTTTAGATGATGAAGAGATTAACTTACTCCTTACAACTATTCCCCTCAACATGAAAACAAACCACCTGGTTAAAAACGGGCCAAACCTTAGCAGACCCCTCACCAAGGAAGATATACAGGTGGCAAGTAAGATAGGAAAAGATGCTCCACATCCTCTGTCATCAGGGAAATGCAAATTAAAAGGAATTCCTATGAGAATGGCCAAAATCCAAAACACTGACAACACCGAATGCTGGCAAGGATGTGGAACAGGAATTCTCACTCATCGCTGGTACCAAATGCTGGCAAGGATGTGGAACAGGAATTCTCACTCATTGCTGGTAGAAATGCAAAATTATAGTCACTTTGGAAGACGGTTTGGTGATTTCTTACAAAACTGATCATTCTCACCACACAATCAGCCACGGTGATCCTTGGTATTTACCTAAAGGAGTTGAAGATTTATGTCCACACAAAATCCTGCACATGGACATTTATAGCTGCTTTATTCAAACTTGGAAGCAACCAGATGTCTTTTAATCGGCGAATGAATAAACTGGTGTATATAGACAATGGACTATCATTCATCGCTAAAAAGAAATGAGCTACCAAGCCATGAAAAGACACAGAGGAAATGCAAGTGCATATGATTAGTGAAAGAAGCCCATCTGAAGAGGCTGCACGCTGTGTGATTCCAACTCTATGACATTCTGGAAAAGGCAAAACCGGAGCCGGTAAAAGGATCAGGGGTTCCAGGGCTGGGAGGGCAGAGATGAGTAGGTGGAGCACAGGATTTTTAGGGCAATAAAATGACCCTGGATGGCACTGCAATGATGGGCACGTGTCAGTATACACTTGTCCACAGGACGGTCACCACCCAGAGTGACCCTGCTGTAAACTATGGACTTTGGGTGATGACGATGTGTCAGTGTGTGGTCATCGTGTGTAACAAATGTACCGTTTGGTGGGAGGTGTTGAGAGTGGGGGAGGGTGTGCATATGTAGGAACAGAGGTATATGGGAAATCTCTGTACTTTCACTTCAATTTTTCTGTGAACCTAAAAATACTCTAAAAATAATGTCTTTTAAAAAAAAACACCAAACCTACTTTCGTCTTGGGCCAGCTTGTGACTACAAATTCTTCATTCTTGCGGGAATCATCAGCCCTCCATTAGCAGTAATGAAATTAGGCCCGCATTTCAGAGCCCAATTAAATACTTTGGCCTTTGCTATTGCCGCCAAGTCGACCGAAAGCAAAGAAGATTGGAAGAAAATGACAAGTCATCAAATCACAAAGAAACCGGGGAGTATGTCCTTCATGGCTGCAGCTGAAGGGGTCTGTGTTGGTGCCGGGGGGAGGGGGGGGAGGGCCTGCGTGTTTACAAGCCTTTCCCGGACCGTCCGCAGAGCAGGGCGGACAGAACTCCCCACCATCCCGGCCCTCAGCGAGGGGAGCGGGTGAGGACCTCAGAACGCTGACAAGAAAAACACACTGTAAACGCCTGCTTGGGAAAGGTAACACATGGGAGGGAGTGACAGCTTAATCGTGTGGAATGCTGAACCTTTCCTTGAATGTGAGCTGCCAGGGGTGTGCCATGCCTGCTTTTCCATCGAATTGCCAAATTGCTGCAATTTGCATTTGCCCACAATCAGTGCCCCTGTTGCTAGTGGAGCGAACATGGAGAAACAACGAACCCTGCTCTGAGACTAGGTAACCTGCCGGGCAATCCTCCCCAGCCGCAGTGCCCTCCACGGGGACCCTGGCCACTGAGGACGAAGGAGGCGAGAGGAGTTCCCCATATCTGGAAGGGTTAAGCACTGAGTCAACCACAGCAGTGGCACACCCAGTGTGAGGTCCGGAGGGTGAAGTCATTTATCTGTGAGTCATATCACTGAGTCAATACACTCTGTTCTATACATTGTTGGTTAGCAACGCACTTCCAAACATCGTGTCCCATGGTTCTATGACACACAGCATTTGACAGGGACAGGAATTGTTCACTTTGACGGAACACTGGGCAATGGCATGAATGAGGCATTGAAACGGACTGGGGTTTGCCCCAATGGAGTTAGAATCGGACGCTGTGGTGCGTGATTCCATTTTCTTTTCTTTTTAAAAAAAAATATATTTTATTGATTTTTTACAGAAAGGAAGGGAGAGGGATAGAGAGTTAGAAACATCGATGAGAGAGAAACATCAACCAGCTGCCTCCTGCACACTCCCCACTGGGGATGTGCCCGCAACCAAGGTACATGCCCTTGACTGGAATTGAACCTGGGACCTTTCAGTCCGCAGGCCGACGCTCTATCCATGGAGCCAAACCGGCCAGGGCATCCATTTTCACACTAAGTGTGAAAGCCAGAGGAGAGGACCACCCTGGTGCCCCTGGCTAAGGGGCAAAAGAGCAACACTTCTGAGAAACCTTCAGTATAGTTAAAAAAAAAAAAAAAGGAACCAGCCTAGTGGTCCTCTTGTCTTATGTTGTGGCTTTTTCACAGGCTCTGACCACTTGATTATGTTCTTAGCAATTGACAGGACTTCATAACGACTCATGTTTTAAACTAGGACTGTAAATGCAGTTCTTTCAACCACAGACCCTATTAAAAGAACCCTGCATTTGTAAGTCAGGAGGAATGAGCAGGCGAGGGTGAGGCTGTGTGCTTCCATGACTGGGAGAAAGGTGTGAGGCATTGCTGTTTTGTTGCCAGGCAACAGGTTGCTTGTGACAACAATCCCTTTTCTCTAAAGGACTAGAGTGCCCTTTTGTTTCCTGAGAGCAGTGCATTTTCATGGTACAAGAAGTACACGAGGAGTTTACACTAATTCGGGCTGTAATCGTAAACGGCGGTTATGAAAGGGAATGTGGTTCTATTTTTGAATTCTTGTGTTTGCTTTCCATCGTAACCTGAGAAAGCATTTGTCTGAGGAGACAAGTTCTTTCCTTTTCTCAGCTGATTACCACTGTTTGGCTTGTCGGATGTGGTTTGTATGCCTGTGGATTTCTCCAAGCCTCTAAACTCCCCCAGATGACTCGTGAATGGGCCTCTGAGCTTCTCAACAGAGAATAACATGTCTACATTCAGAAATGTTATAAGATTTGATTCTATAATTTCAAGCTAATTAGCTAATCCTGACGTGAACATGCCATGATATCTTCTGTGTTTGTTTTTCTTTTATGGATTCTATTCCAGCATGTGTGTGCGTGTTGTGTACTGGTTACAGACTCCCCAGGACAGGGCCCTGATCTCCTGCCTCCTTACAGCCGAAGTAGCATCTAACATAGAACATGGCATGCAGTAGATGCTTAATAAATTCTCGTTGAGTAGACGACTGAATGGATGCACAAAGATTGACATGCATCTTCCAGTTACATGAATTTTACGTACATCCAAGTCAGGCTCTGAAAATAGTGAGGTGGTGATTGGTAGCGCAGCTACTGTAAAAAAGAGACAGACAGCCCTAACCGGTTTGGCTCAGTGGATAGAGCGTCGGCCTGCGGACTGAAAGGACCCAGGTTCGATTCCAGTCAAGGGCATGTACCTTGGTTGCGGACAACATCCCCAGTAGGGGGGGGGCAGGAGGCGGCTGATCGATGTTTCTCTCTCTCTCATCGATGTTTCTAACTCTCTATCCCTCTCCCTTCCTCTCTGTAAAAAAAAAAAAAAAAATCAATAAAATATATTTTTTTAAAAAAACGAGAGAGACAGACACCTAAATGCACTTAGAGACCTGTCCTTCCTGCATAAAATCTTACGTTTTATGTAGAAATGTCAATCGAAAACTCTTGGGAATAGTTGCAGAATGCTGATATTCTTTGAATCTTGAGAGATCATAAAGTTAATTCTAAAAATGGGAAAGCGCAGAGGCTCGAGAGCCAGCCCACAGGTTGAACATCTTCTCCTCAGATGAGTTCTTCTCCTAAAGCAGAGCTAGGGCTTC